ATTTGATTGGTTAATTATCATGGGCAATCACAGGTAGATCGACAAAATTAACCAATCATATGAATGTCTTCCTATGAGTGCAGATGTTAGTATGATAGTGATCTACAAATCTAATAATCCTGTTTAAACAGGTTTGTTAATATTGAATAAACTATTTTGATTTTGTGTAACAAACCAATTTTTACCGATTTTCTCAAAACCTATGATCGGCCAAATTTCCTGGTTTCTACTTTTGACACCCTATATAGTTATAGATTTATTTTGTTACACACAATCTTGCAATCTAATTGTAAATTGTAGGGTGGTTAACATTACCAGAAGGCAAGTTAGCAATATTCTAATAAATATATGTTTAAAATTTAAGCAAATTTGAAGTTTTAAAGTTAGATAATTTAATTTTTTTTATTGTATATACAATATATATATATATATAAATTATTACAGTATAGTAAATTATATAATAAATATTTTTAAAAAAAGGTTTAATTAATAAATTTTTTGATTTAATAATAAAATAATCAAAATAATATTATTTTTATAAATCTAATTAACAAAGGATTATATTGAATTAAAGAATTAAAAAAAATTAAATTGTAAAAAAATTTTTTTAATTATAATTATTTGAACAAATCTTTTGCACCAGCCTATACTATAATAATTAAAATTGTATATATATATTGTATACGTATAATGTAACTATACAGTTTTATTTTTTAGTTTACAATACGTAATAATTTTATTTTATTATTTAATAATATATATATAATAATATAAGAGTGTCGTACAGATGTATAAGATATTGGTCATGCAACGATTAATATCATGATTTTCAAGTCATTTTTGGCTAACTGAGTTTTAATTCGAGATTATTGTGCTTATGTAATAACGTACAAAAAATAACAAGAAGAAAAAAATTTATGATCATAAGAGTTTGCACGATAAAATATAGTTACTAGGCGCCATTATTTGGCAGGTGATACGATTATAACGTAATCAGTGTTTGAAATTAGTTTTTTGCACAAATATTAACAAAATAAAATAACATTCCTTTATAAAAAAATTTTTTTTGCACAGCATATTTGTGTCGAATTTTCAACACTGCTCATAAGAACACTACAATATTATAAATTTTGTATACAGCATAAATTTTTAAAAAATTTTTGAGAACAGTAAATTAATAGTTGTGTTCTTAGAAGTATATAATAAGTAGCTGCAGATTTTAATAAGAATATGCCACATTGTAAAGAAAATAATAACAATTTTATTTCATTTTTATTTTTTTTAAGATTCTTTTTCAAAAATACTTAGTGCTGCCAAAAAAGGAATAGCCGTCTATGAAAGATCTGATAAAATTTTCATAAACAGTTAGCTGTACACAAAATATAATTGAAAATCCGAATGGCCTTTTTCTCTTGGCATCATTCAGCTATTGGTATAAATCGTATGTTTAGCACAAATCTTATGCTGAAAATTTATATTATTTTTAATTCTTAGTACTACTACTTATAATACATTATCTAATAAATATTGTTGGGTTATTTTATTTTTTTTATGTTAAAATATATTAAATTGAATTACGTAATTGTATTTTATAAGCTATTGTTTTCCCCGCTATGAATTAAATCGTACGTATGATTATTTGATTACTATTTACATAATATTTGATACGTAAAATGTTGTGTTTTGATCGTTTTAAGATAAGATAGCAAATTGATAACTTAATTTATATGTAATTCTGTTATATCACTTAATTTTTTAATGATCACACAATATTCTCATCAAATTTTCGCCCATAAGCTTATATATTATACTATCAAACACTGTTACGCATGGCACGAGTTAAAGCGAAACTTTTAATTAGTAAGATATAAGTATATTAAATAATCAACGGCGTTATTATTTTTGTCTATAAATATTGCAAATTTAAAATTGATTAGATCTCTCGTTGACACGTAAAAAAAGAAAAACGTCAAAAGCAAATACATCAAAATTATATATATATATATTATAGGTAAATATAAATGGTGCCCCCCGTAGCACATTGTGAACCCCTATGTTTTAATAGCGGACAAAGACAAAGACTAATATTAGGGGTAGGGTTAGGGTTAATGTTGGGTAAAATGTAAAATTAGGGTTACCCTAGTAAAATTATGAAATATTAGTAATTTTTGTAGTAAGGGGCACGGAAATCATGAAATTATAAGCAACACAATTATAAAAATAAGATCCACGCTATTTTAACGTATATAAAAATAGTATTATCAACAGATGGTAAAAATACCCGTAAAATGAGTCAAGATTCTAGAAGACTGACAAAGAACAGCTTGAACGCGAAATGACCGAATTCATTTTAGCAGTATACAATTAAATCTATAGCGAAAGCGAAAGTTCCTTAGGATATGACAATCTAATTAATGGTTTGTCGAATATTTGTCGAATATTTGTTGATCAGAAGAGGAGATAAGAAATAATATGAATTCGACAAATTAATACAAACAAGGGTTACGCGCCGTCGTCAAGTAATATTCCACAAGACTTACAGTATCGGGTTTTTATGCAGTGTTGCTTATTATTTCAACCGCGTGGCGGCGAACATTACAATTTTTTAACAGTTTGTATTAATTCTGATGTGGCATTTTATGAAATACTTCCAAAAAAATGATCAAGGTGGAATAGATAGCAATTCAAATGCACTTGTTATACCCAGCCCACCTGATCCTGAAAGTTCGCAAGGTCCTGTATATGATATCAAGCAAATTTTCAATGTATTTTTCAATGTACTTTTCTTTACCTAAAATTAATAAAAATGCAAAAGGCAAATTTATTTATTATTACCATAAATAGTTATATATAAATTAATTAATACTACTTATCATTAATATTATAATATAAATTATTCAAAGATCCATGGTATCTTGACGAAGGGCTCGGTATATGCATTGCGGTTGGGATTAATATAGGAGATCGCGATGTTCATTACCGGGCATAAAAGTGAATCGTCTTACCGAATTTACGCGCGAAAAGCAACGTGAAGATGCATTATCATTATTAATCGATTGTGCTGGAACTTTATCCCCTAATTCGCAAGAAGAGGAATCGATTGATATGAACATTAGCTCTTCTCACGTATATATTAAAAATTAACTTGTAAAATTATAAATTATTAAATTGTATGTTTTTGTAGGATAGCAATTTACAAGGTGAAGTTGAAATTGACCCACAATTGGTGGTGGACGACAAATTTTCCGTAAAAATTCTTTCTTATGAGGATAATACTTTAGGTACTACCGCTACGGCTGTTAAGGATTACTATATAACTGCACAAACTGTCAATATTAGCTAAATAGATATTGATTACTATCACATATTATTATTTCATCCACTAAGAATTTTAAAAAACAGACTTTGATTGAAAATTTAGCAAATTTTATTATGATATTGAGCAACAAAAAATTGTTCTATGAATAAAGCACTTGCTCAAGAATATAGCCCGATAAATTATCAAGATTTGATCAAAAAGTCCTAACGGTAGACACTGATCCATTTGATAGTATTTCCTCGTTCGATAATACTTTTTAAAATCGAGACCTATATAAAATTTTTCTTAGAATTTTAAGGCCGAAGGCCTACTTATTACATACTGCAAATACTGTATTCTGGCAGCCCGATCATAGTAATCTGACAAATAACTGTAGCTATTGGATGATACATATTTAAATATTTTTTGTTTAATATTATTTAAAATACATTTTTATTATATGTTTTTATATATTTTTCCAAGTTTTTAGAAGTTTTTATATAAAATTTTTGGCACAAATTTTTCATGTTGAGGTTAGTATTTAGTGTTAGAATTAAGGTTTAGGAAGAACGTAAAGCATTTCTACTTAGGTGGTAAAATATCATGGGTGCGTTTTAGTAACATTGTTTAAATTATGTAAAAAAAAACCTTATATTTTGCATATACAGTATGTGGGCTAAGAACAACTCCATTATCTGAATGGAGTCAATGGAAGCCATTGAGCTAATATTAGAGATTAGAACCTTTGACCCCAAAATCAACCAATCATAATTGAGGATTGTCAAAGCATCTTGTAGTACGTACGAACGTAATATTACTTTATTTATGTTTCTGCATTTTGTTAGAGGACAAAAGTATGTTAAAAAGCTCTAAAACACCCGAATATGTCAACAAAAGTACTTCTTTCTACAGTTTAGAATAGTTGTTTTATTGACATATTTGTCTTTTATCTTGTCTAGATGCCAATAAAACTCTTTTATTAGTTATATATAACAAGCACTTCGTTCATTACTTTTTCAACGTTACTTAAGAGCAAAAATTTCGTGTAACTGTTTATCAAAAAAAAGGCCCAGAAAAATCAAATCGGCCGATATGATTTTTCTATTGAAACCATGGCTCATTGGGTTCTTCATTAGTTTTATTGGCCCCATTGGGTTTCATTCGCTTCATTGATAATTCTCTCAATGGGGGGTATATCTGGGTGCGGGTGCTGTAAAAAGGACGAATTTGAAATTTTTGTTTTCTTGTTATTTAATTGTGATTCTGTAAAATTATAAACTAAATTGTCAATTACAATGATCATTTTTTGTATATATTTTGTTTACGTTGTACTTGTAAGTACTAATACAGGATTAATAAATTTAAAATAAATTTCTTAAACAATATACAATACAAAGACGAACTAAGACATCTCTTTCTAAAAGAGCTTTGGCCATCCAAACTATCTCCACAGTACTACAACCCATATAAGGTATTATATACAACCCAAATATGTAAATTCATACTTGTTTACCTAGTTTATTATTTCATTTGGCAAAAAATTACCGATACTGTACGTAACCTAAAAACCAAACACATCTTGCAAAACAATTAACAAATTATATAGAAAAATATGAACTATATATAGTAATATTATTTGATTCTTACGTTACATCGTTACATCGTTACATATAAGCCATATAAGCCCCATGAACATCATTGTATATACGTATAAATTTTTAATAACGATATACTGTACAATACGTAATATTATAGTTCTAGTTAAGATCAGCTAAATTACGTTTTATTTATTTTGAATTCGGGCAGTGTGATTCTTTTAAAAATAGCATGGTGTGATTCAAATAAACAACAGCCATCTACACGTGATATAGATAAAATAATCTCACGCGCAGTTTTAAAAAAATTAATTATATATATACTGTAATTTACATCAGTTTTATTTTTTTAAAAAATTTTTAAATTCCCTCAAGTTTCGACCTTTTTCACTTTTTTCTCTTTCTCATTCTTCTACAAGGGACTGTTCAAATAGTTCTGTACCTAAATAAAAAAATAAAAAAATAAAGGTCATTATTGTGTTTGGTATTCCTTGGTAGCACAATATTTTGGAAAAAAGGCCATTGAGGTTTCGTCCTCGCCGAAAAGGCCCAATTTGGTGTTGAAAGTTTATCTCTAGTTTGTCTCTGGGTACTCCTATAAATATCTTCAATTTATTCCCTGTTCTGTCGCTTCAAAGAATTACTATTTAATTAATGGATAAAATGGATAATAACTTAAAAGACCAAGCCGGTATATATTTTTATATATTTTTATGCAAATTATGAACATAAATATTTTATCATTACTTAATTACTTTTATTTTTTTTTAAAAGATAACAACAATCAGCAAGTAGTTTCAACAAGTGGCTTAGACCGAAAGACTGAAGACAAGGGTACCAACCCAATTCTCAATAACACGCAACAAAAAGAACCTAAAACAAATCCTCAAGCTGGAAGCCTTTTACAAACGACTCTTCAAAAAATGTTTCATATAGAACCGGCTGCAGATAAACCAAGAATTCCCAAAAGTTCGAAAAATTCATCTACTACCAGTTCCGAGTCTGAAGATGAAAGAACCGAAAAAAATCATAATGCTCGACCCACTTCAAAACTACGTTTTCAAAAACTCAATACGGGATCGCATGTTCACAATTTACAACTAAAAAAATTTCGTATTAATAATTTCTTGAAAGAACTCGGTATTCATGGACATCATCCAATGGATGATAAATCACATGACGAGGCAAAAAAGAAACATAATTCAGATGGTTCCTTGTCGGAAAAATATGGGAAGCCCCAAGAGGTCGTTGGTAAAGGTGTGGTTTAATTTCATTTATTATCACATAAATCATTTTTGTTGATCACTAAGTCAATTATCATTATTATTCAGGCGCATTTGGCATTGTTCGTGTTGCTCACAAAACAGAACCAAAAGTACCAGGTGAAAAACTTTTTGCTGTCAAGGTTTGTTTTATTTTATTTTATTTTTTTAAAAAAATCTTTTTTGTACTTTTCAAGAGCGAAGGACTAAGAAAAAATTTTTTTCCAAATTTATAAATTAGGAATTCAAAAAACGCCATAACGAACCTTCAAAAAGATTTATGAAACGTTTAACATCGGAATTTTGTATTTCCTCTTCCCTTCACCATATCAATGTAATTGACACAATAGACTTACTTCAGGATACCCAGGGAAACTATTGCGAAGTTATGGAATATTGTGCTGGCGGTGATTTATATTCCTTGATTATTTCTTCAGGTGGCTTAGAACAAAATGAAGCAGGGTGTTTCTTTGGTCAATTAATTAATGGGGTTAAATATTTGCATGAAAATGGTGTCGCTCATCGGTATGTAAATGATTGAACTCATTTTTATAATAATGAGAAACTATGTTTATTGACTATTTTCTTTTTTTTAGTGACCTTAAACCTGAAAATCTTCTTTTAACCTCGACTGGATGTCTCAAAATCACTGATTTCGGAAATTCTGAATGTTTCCGGATGGCATGGGAGACACAACCTCATTTATCACGTGGGGTTTGCGGTAGTGAACCTTACATTGCTCCCGAAGAGTTTACTGGTAATTGGTTTGATCCAAGACTTGTGGATGTTTGGGCTTGCGGAATCATTTACATGGGAATGCTCACTGGTAGACATCTTTGGCGCATCGCCAAAGTTCACGAAGATTTTAATTACAAATATTACCTAGAATCAAGACTTTATGGCGGGGGTCTTTTACCTCCTTTCCAAAGATTAAGTGATGTAAGTATCAGTAAAAGTATATATTTATTCTATTATTATATATAATTCACACGTCATTAATTTCTTTATAAATAGAGTGGACGTCGCGTAGTGTCCAAGATAATAGAACCAGATCCTAAATTGCGTATCACTGCCGAGCAAATTACTGAGGATCCTTGGTTCTTACAACTTGATATTTGCCACAGACCACAAACAAAAAATGCTCACTTACCCACAAATACAATGTGTGGTATAAATGCTACAAACCAGCAACCGACAAATATGAACAAATTAACTATCATAAACATGGTATAGTCGACCAGTATTGTGGTATTAAGCAATAGAATGTTTTCTTTGACTACATTTAACTATTGTTCAACAATTTAACTGTTTCTAAAAAAAAAAAAAAACGTGGACATCGTTGATATTGATGTTAAATTGTTGATATTTTCGATATTTCTATGATCCACCTTATGATCAGTTTTCGAAACTTGTTTTTCGATCATGATTTGTATAATATAATGTTTAAGGCATGTAAATATATGATCTGATGATGGGGGTGATTATGATTGATTTGAGAATTCTTATTGATTAGTTGGTATAGTGTGTTGAATAGAATCAAATTCTCAATCAATTACTGGGTAGAATTGGATAATAAAATAAGAAAAACAAAAGAATAACAATATTCTTTTGATAATTTTGTATTTATTGTATTTTTATTCTTTTCTTTTTTTTTGTTTATTAGTATGATATTTTTTAGTTATTTTAGTACAAATAATTGCCTAATTATTGTAAACCTTAGATATAAAAAACTAATTATACAGAACTTTTTCTAAAGTACTACTTTATGTATAAAGTAAGGAAAGTAATGTGGTAGTTGTGGCCTGTTAATCTAATAATGTTTTATACAGTACTATTTGATTTTAATTTTGTCATAACACTCCTCTCCACTTTATATTTTCTTTATGCTATGTATAACTACAGTATTTTATATTATTTGGTGATATATAATTTAATAAAAAGTGTTACGACTGTATATTAAATCACTAGGGCTAGACCGGGAGCATGAACTCATCGGGACCAGAATGAACCATCAATTTTTCTAATTACAAAACAAACCATTGTTTCTGCTATCTATGGTGGTTGGCTGAGGGGAAGATGCATTGAAAAAACTCACTTGCGTGTTCTCATTTGTAAGAATGTAAATGGCCAAAGCTATTTACAAGAATTTCTCAACCTTTCTAATTACAAATTACTAATTCAGCTGAGACTTTACGCTTCTAGGCAGGGTTGGCAATGGATAATGTAACGATTAATTTTTCCTGTGTCTCATCACTTCCGTATTTGTTTAATTCTTTAAGTCGTCACTCACCTTCCATAATTGTACCATCATAGTCATGTT